GAAACTTTGATTATAATATAACAACAAACTTACCAACTAAGTAATTCAGTTTTTATTTAATTCTTTATTAACTTTTTTTTTTGCTTGTTGTTAGGTAATTTAAATGACGAAAAAGAAGGTAAAGCAATTATAAAAGTAACAGTTAAGAGACAAAAAATGAAGTTTTTGTTTCATCGTTTTTTTTCTTTGGAAATTCTATAAACAATTAATATGCATATAGACAGTAAAGTAAAGACTTAATTTCTGAAATATTCTTATTAGCAACGAAATTCTATTTTTTGCTCAAAATAATCATTACTTTTTTTGTTTTTTTGTACTAAAAAAAAAAAGGGATTGATTTCGTACTAAACATTTTTTATTGAACTGTTTTATGTTGGCATAAACAACAGTTTTTTTCCTTATATTGACCAACAAAAATTTGCAACTGTAGAAAATAATGATGTATTTACTTGTTGAAATTTAATAAATTTTCCTCTTAATTTGGTACATTTGAAATCAAAAAACTTTAAAAAAATACACTTTATTATTTTTATAAACTAACTTTGATTTATCTGTAAAATTTTTTTTAATAAGCTAAGCAGTAATTTCTTTTTTACTAAAAAAGTAAAGAGCCATCTTTTTTTCTCAAACAATTTGAAACTGTTTTTTTGCCAGTCACTGATGCAAAAAAAAAGAAAAATTTTATAAATGAAACACAGTTAAAAGAATGATCATTTTTTGATATTCTTTCTTTTTTTTGCCATTACTGTAAAAGTCTTTCAAATTTTTGCAGAACTTTACCGTTTACTAATTGTGCAGTAATATTATTTAGCAAATTAATCGTTTAAAAATTTGCTAACTTCAAAGGAAGGTAATTACCGTTCTTCAATAGTTTAAAAAAATATATATACATTTATTATAATCTTCTTCACTTTTTTCCTCGTTTTTCCATTTTTTTTTTTTTTTTTTTTGCATATTTTACTAATTGAAAAGAAGTAACAGGAGTTGTAATATTTCTCTTCTTTTCGTGTTTTTGAATGATTGCTGAAATCAACACTTCCTTTCTAGCAAAAAAAAAAGTCTTGAAAATTTGTATAACTAATTCTGTGATTAAGCGAAAGAAAAAGACCAATTTAAAAGGCGGAGGTGAAACCCTTATGCAGTACTTATTGAAGAGGTGTTTAAAATCCTTAAAAACTGACAATAATTGAACAGCAGTTTTCAAAGACATTAATTCTAACAACATTTGAGGTCTTCCAAATAGATTTATCTTTAATCTATTGTTTACTGTCACTTTTTTCACTCTTTTTTTTTTCTTTTTTGAAATTTGCAAATATCAATTTACAGTGTTGTCAGCAGAACTCTTTGTACATTTGGTATACAACAAACTTAGATCAGTTGTAAAAAATAGGCTTTAAGCATACGTTTTGAAACTATCAAATAAGATGGCAGTATTATTAAG